AATCTTATATATCTCCTTGCCACCAACCGGCCTCTCAACTAGCTAGCATTTATCCTAATGATAGGATGGGCTAGCAAGCCTTCCTTTAAAGCTTCCTGAAATCCAGGGGATGAAAATCAGCAGGCGTGACCACGCCACAGCTGTTTTAATTCTTTCTTCCTGCCATCCCATTTGCTACGAGGTGGGATGGACCGGACACCCACCCACCCTCCTTTTAAGCTTTCTGAAATTTATTGTCTTTGCTTAGCGCACGGCGGCATCTAAAGAGGTCACGCCATGGGACTGATATACAATTTTTTTTTTGTTTAAATAAAGTTTAAATTTCGTTCACTGGATTTCAGGAAGCTTAAAAAGGAAGGTTGCTCGTACAGTCCCAACTTGTAGCGTAATGAAATGGGAGCAAGAAAAGAATTGAAATAATGGTGGAATTGCCATACATGCTGGATTTCATCCACTGAGATAGATAGATAGATAGATAGATAGATAGATAGATAGATAGATAGATAGAGATAGATAGATAGATAGATAGATAGATAGATAGATGGATGGATGGATGGATGGATGGATGGATGGATGGATAGATGACATGATTGATTGATTGATAGAGAGATAGACAGATGGATAGTAGATGACAAAATAGATAGATAGATGATAGATGGGTGGATGGACGGATGGACGGACAGACGGATGTACAGGTAGACAGATGGATAATAGATGACATGATTGATTGATAAACTGATAAGATAGATGGATAATAGATGACATGATAGACAGACAGACAGATGGATAATAGATGACATGATAGATAGATAGACAGACAGACAGACAGACGGATAATAGATGACATGATTGATTGATAGATAGATGGATGGATAGATGACTAGATAGATAATAAAGAATGGAGAGAGCTGAATAGATAGTAGATATTATTATAGATGAGAGAGAGAGAGATGGAGAGAGAGATAAATAGAGATATAGATGTACATAAAGGTATGTGGATAATACTATATGGAGTAATATATTAAATTAAGATAGAACCATAACAAAATCACCATAAAATGGACCCATAGAATTGCAATGGGACAGATGATACAATTCGATATAATTCAGTAGGTGAAATTCAGCATGTATGACAACCCCACTATTATTTTAACCTTTCCTTCCTTCCTTCCTTCCTTCCTTCCTTCCTTCTCATTATGCTTCCTTCCTTCCTTTATTCTCATTATGGTTTGGGATGGACTAGCAAACCAACCTTTTAAGCTCCCTGAAATTCAGCGTGTGACAACTCCAGCATTATTTTTATCATTTCCTTCTGCCTTCCCATTAAATTATATCTCAGGTGTGTCTCTTAGGAGCCCTGTAGCAAGGCTATGATTGAAAGGTTAAGACAATGTTGGCCTTCCCCATCATCTGATGTTCACCTCAGTGGTAGGAAGACACTCAAGCTGGACCCATGTTGCTAAGCAGCTCATCCTTACCCAATTCCAAGCCACGGTCTCTGGGGGGGGAAGAAAGCGTAACCATCTATCAATGGCAATTAAATTAACGGCAAAAGGCATCTTGTTTTAGCAATGGCACCTTCGTCTTTTGACAGGCTGAAGCTCCCCCAGAAAATAATGCCTGGTATCAGTAAAGGTTAAATGTGCAATTTATCCTGTAATTGCTGTCACGATGATCAAACATTTATTCTGCAAATAAGGAGATAATTAAGACGTGACATGGAGTGCCAGAGAGCACAAGATTCCAGTCTTGGAGACTTTCTCTTTTTAAAGAATAAATGTTTGCTGAATCCAGAGCTACATTTGCCAACACATATCGATCTATCTATCTATCTATCTATCTATCTATCTATCTATCTATCTATCTATCTATCTATCTATCTATCACCTATCTTAGCTATCATCTATCTTATCTATATTGATCTATCATCTACTATCATTATCATCTATCTTTATCATTATCTATATCTATCTCTCATTATCTATCTATATATCATCTATATCTATCTAATCCAATCATTTACTATCATCATCTCTTTATCATTATCTATATCTATCTCTCATTATCTATCTATATCTATATCATTTATATCTATCTATCTATCTATCTATCTATCTATCTATCTATCTATCTATCTATCTAATCCAATCAATCATTTACTATCATTATCAACTATCTTTATCATCTCTATCCATCCATCATCTATCATCTATCTTTATCATTACCTATATATATCTTCTATCTATATCATTTACTATATCTATCATCTATCTCTTCTATCATCTATCATTATGATCTATATCATTATCTATATATATCATTTTCTATCTATATCTATCTATATCATTTACTATATCTATCATCTATCATCTATCTATCTCTTCTATCATCATCTATCTTTATTATTATCTATATCTATCAATCTATCTTTGTCTATCATCTACTATCTATCTGTCCATCCATCCAATCATTATCTAATAATTAAAAATCATTAAATTTGGCTTGTTGCGGTTTGCCAAGTGTTGAGACCACATTAGGAATACAGGTAGTCTTCGACTTACGACCACAATTGAGCCCAACATTTCTGCTGTTAAGCAAGACATCTAAGTGAGTTTTGTCCCATGTTAGAACTTTTCTTTCCACTCTTGTTAAGTGCGCCGTTGTCACTGCAGTTGATAAGCGAGTAACCCGGTTGTGAAGTGAATCTGGCCACCCCGCTGGGTTTGCTTGTCAGGTCAGAAAAAGTTGATCCCGGCGATCCCGGAACGCAGCGACGGTCGTAAGTAGGAACCAGCTGCCAAGCATCTGAAAGTTGATCGCACAAGATTGTGGCGATTCTAACTGAGCTGCGCTCGTTGTGTGAATACATCTGCTAGGTATCTCTTCACCTGACTTGCGTGAACACACCACAGCCTCCGTTTCTCCTTCACGCACCATCTGGAAGCAAAGGCCCTCCGAGTAAATTCGCACAAAATGGAGGCCTTTCCCATTACGTATGTCAAGCATGTTTCTCCTCCCTGCGCTCGCCTACCCCCGTTATACTGATGAGGTTATGCTAAAGCAACCTTTTAATTAAGAGATTAACGTGCACAGATTAACTTCTGATTAGATCTAATGAGCCAGGTTGGCTTGTAAGCTTTACTCTTCGGAAATCAGGCAGGCGAGGGAGTGGGGAACCCAATCGTAAAACATTTTTTTACAAGGATGAGCAGTGGAACTAACCCTGCCTTGAGTTTTACGGTCTTTAAAAAAAAAAAAACAGGAATTTGAAGGAAAGGGGATGAGGGGGAAAAAAAGGAAAACACAATTTCTTTTTAATTGATAATCGTTTGGGTGAAATCGCTTTGCTCGGTGCTTTTCAAACTTGGCAACTCCCGATGTGGGGGAATTCACAGGCGGCGTAGGCAGTGAAGAAGCGTGGCCTAGAGAGGTGGAGCTCTCGCCTCACAATCAGGAGGCTGCGAGTTCGATCCTAGGTTAGAGGCTGATATTTCTCTCTCTCTGGGCATCATGAGAATATATCTGCCGAACAAAACTCCGTACTGGTGACAGGAAGGGCATCTGGCCAGTAAACACTCTACTAGCTCCATTCAGTTGCCCCGACTCCACCGCGCAAGGGATTACGGGGTCATTAAATGACGAACAACATAGGCAATGAGAAGTGTATGACTTTGAAACCCACAGATCTTTAAAAGCTGCCAGGTCTGAAGTTGAGATGTTCTCCCAGCAAAGGTGATAGAATCAATCTGCTTCTCTTCATCCTGATTTTGGAGCACAGCTACAAAGGGAGGTGGGGTGTGTGTGTTTGGGGGAGAGGAGAAAGGTCCATTGGCTAGCTGCCTTCCAGATGTTGTTGAGCTCAATTCCTACATCAATGTCTACACTGCTTGTCAATTCTACACACCTGGAAGGCAACAGCTGGGGAAAGGTAGGGAAGGAATGGCTTATATAGACATCCTCTGGAAATACGGATGACGCGTGTCTTGGGATTCCCAACAATTCAACTGGGCTACATGCGGAGTGTACCCAGGTTGGAAAAAGCAGACTTGGGATACTCAATATTTTTGCACAAGGCTCACTATAGGTTTACTTGGAGCCAGTAAGATGCTGCGTTAAGAAACCAGGAGATGGTGAGTTCTAGGCCTTGGGTGTGAAAGCTGGCTGGGTGACTTTGGATCAATCACCAGGAGATGGTGAATTGGGCATGGGGAGTTGGTGTCTTGGGCATGAAAGCTGCCTTGGTAACTCTGGGTCAATCACCAGGAGATGATGAGTTCTAGTCCTTGGCATGAAAGCTGGTTGGCCGACTTTGGACCAATCACTAGGAAACTGTGAGTTCTAGTCCCACTTTAGGCACGAAAGCCAGCTGGGTGACCTTGGGCCAGTCAACCAAGAGACCGTGAGTTCTAGTCCTGCCTGAGATATGAAAACGGACTAGGCGACTTTGGACCAATCACCAGGAAACTGTGAGTTCTAGTCCCACTTTAGGCACGAAAGCCAGCTGGGTGACCTTGGGCCAGTCAACCAAGAGACCGTGAGTTCTACACCTGCCTGAGGCATGAAAGCCAACCGGGTGACTTTGGCCAATCACCAGGAGACTGGAAGTTCTAGCCCTGAGTTCTTAGGCATGAAAATCAGCTGGGGGTATTTTGAGCCAATCGGCAGGTTCTCTGTGAAGGCTCAGGTATTCCACCCAACCTTGAGGACACAAACTGGTATTACTATTACCTTTTTCCCACTGCATTTCTGGAATATTTAATCTTGGAGTACATGCCCGTGTGATGCATAATCTTGGTTTAACTGGTAGATTATCCCGTGTTTATTTTCAACACCCAATTTCTCGGTTCGTTCCACCCATAACCATCTGCAGAGTGATCTGGAATAATTATAGGGACCTTCGCTCTTCAAAGAAGGCCGACGGTGGAGCCAGAAGGTGAAGCCACACAAAAACCGCGCAGCGTTGTGAGGCCGGGAGAAATAAATCCAATGCTACACATAAAAACCGGAGAGATAAAAAGTATTTGGGGAGGCAACGTGTCATAAAAACAGCACAATGCTGGGAAACTCAGCCTGTGCTTTCAGACTGAGATCCAAGCTCTACTCTCTTAGTATTTACATTTGGGGAAGGGGAGGAGCCAAGGGAGGAATCAACTTGCATGCACAAAAGTCAAGGCCCTTTCAAACCATGTGACCCAAAGTTTTTTAGGTTTGGAGAAGGCCAGCCTGACGAAGGGGAAGGTAGCCCGGCAAAGGTGGTACTTTTGCTGACACAATCAGCCTCAGCCGAAGAGCCTTCCTGGTGCTGCTTTGAGCAGGGGAGGGGGATCAGGGGAGGAGGGAAAAAAAAACAGAAAGAAGAGACACCCCCCACCCCTCTGTGTTTGTCCATCTTTGCCTGCAAAACCAAGAACGGAAAAAAAACAGGCCAAGCTCTGAACGTCGCTTGGGTTTAAATCAAGAAAAAAAAAAAATCGCGAAACTCCGTTCCGTATAAATAACGCAAAATCCTGGGCGCCGAGATGGGTCCCGAGAGTTCCCCAACCATTTCCCGGCATGCCGACGCCGTCCTTTTCCCCCACGTTTCGACGCTGTCGACGCTTCCTCCTCCTCCGGAGACGTTTGGCGTACGCTCCGCTTCCCCGGAGGTTTTGGCGGAGCTTCCTCCAGGCTGACCGCGCGCCGGTCTTTTTTCCTCGACGGAAACCGTTGGCGACCGAATGAAATAATGGGAAGACGAAAAAAACCCCGGAGGTCCTTCTGAAACTTTGTGGAGACCACGAGACGGCGAAAAACAACATCGTCAGTCCGGGTGGCGGGGCGTTCCACGAGAGAAATACGCAGCTGGTGGAGACGCACTTCCAAAGGAGGGAAGAATGATGGTTTGGTTTTTTTGGGGCCTAATCACACCTAAGGGGCGCAAGCACACATCTCGCAGACGGCCGATTGTCCTCAATTACGAGGGTCTGCCAGGGGGGGAAAAAACGACAGTCAAGCTGCGGATCGCCGGCGAATCACGAAAGCGCCCCTCTGGAGTTGCCCAAGGTAGATTCTCATTTTTGTGCTGTCGCTGGTTTTCCTCACCCAGATCTGTCAAGGTTTGGGAAAAGAAAGACAGACAGACAGACAGAGAGAAGGAGAGAAATTGTGATGCTGGAGACAGTTGTTCTGTTACGGAGCGGTTTTAGAACTAGATTGCTCGATATGATGTTATGGCAGCCGGAAGTCCACTTCGATTCTTCCCTGCAATTCCACCCACTTTGGTTAAACTACAGCATAGAATAATAGGGTTGGAAGAGACCTTGGAGGTCTTCTAGTCCAACCCCATGCTCAAGTAGGAGACCCTATAGCAGCCATGGTGATGCATGGCTACTTCTGCTGCCTACCGGCTACAGTTCGATTCTCACCAGGCTAAAGGTTGACTAAGCCTTCCGTCCTTCCGAGGTTGGTAAAATGAGGAGCCAGATTGTTGGGGGGCAAGAGGCTGACTCTGTAAATCACTTAAGAGAGGGCTGGAAAGCACTGTGAAGCGGTATATAAGTCTAAGTGCTATTGCTGGACAAAGGGCTGTCCAGTCTCTTCTTGAAAATCTCCAATGAGGGAGCACCCACAACTTCTGGAGGTGAGCTGTCCTATTGTTTAATTGTTCTCACTGTCAGGAAATTTCTCCTTAGTTCCAGGTTGCATCTTTCTTTAATGATCTTTTCCACCTGTTACTTCTTGTCCTGCTCTTGGGCGAACAAGTCAATCTTTGTCTCTTCTCCGTGACAGCCCACCCCCCTCCCCAAAGTACCGGAAGACTGCTATCAGGCATTAAGTTGCGGTTCAGAAGATGTATTGTTTCAGTCTATACACAAGACTCTAGTCAACTAAAGTTCAGTATTAAACTGGGGCTAGATAAGACTCAATAGAATTCAAGAGGAGTTAAGTTTCTTGGAACATTTGTGGCAACGTAACGATTCCAAGCTGATGACATGCTTAACTCCGCCCTCTGTCTCTACCTGCTCTTCTCCTACAGAGGCAGGAAAGATTATAGCCTTCCATTGAAGAGCCCATCATAATCCAGCTACAAATCAACCACGCTCAGCTTATTTCTCCATTTTAGCAACACACCTAAGGGTTGAAAGAAAGAGATGAAATCCCAGGAGCACATGGATTTAAACGCAACTGGCTAAAAAGCAGCGGAGCCATAAGGGTATCTGTTTCTGATCCACCGCCAGAAAAGCTAGACGAGAGTTCTGATTAAGTTTCAGAAGGAGAGCGGTGGTTAAGATCAGAAGTGTAATCCAAAGAAATAATTGCTTGATGAAAATCTCCCTTCCTGCTCTGAAGGATCCTTCCCCGAAGCCCTCCAGCCGGATGGTTGCCATGCAACTGAAGCAAGAACAATACCGTTTATTGCACACCAAAGTTACGAGGAAGGCCGATCCTGATTCGCAACTCCGGAAACCCCCGGATGAAAAGGAGACGTCGTCTTACCTCGTTGGCTCCCACCGAGCTGATCACACAACTGATTTTGGTGTTCTCTTTTGACTCCAGATAAATAGCCTGACTCTTGTGATACCTGGAAATAAAGAAAACCTTTATTGATTTGATTGTAGGGCACATTCATATCATATTTCAATTTTTTTTAAAAAAAGGAACACGGAAATAAAATACAAAACATAGAATGCAAAATCTGAAATCTTAACAGGAAGATCGGTTTTCGAACGACATACTTATATAATACGCCGAATCAAATTTATCCTTCCCCTGCCATGCCCACCAAGCCATGCCCACAGAACCGGTAGTAAAAAAATTTGAATTTCACCACTGATAATTATACTATACCATACCATACCATACACCATACCATATCATACCATATAACATACTAAAAAGCAGAGACATCGCCCTGCCCCACAAAAGTGCGTATAGTCAAGGCGATGGTTTTCCCAGTTGCAATGTATGGCTGGGAAAGTTGGATCACAAGGAAGGCTGAGCGCCAAAGAATGGAGGCCTTTGAACTCTGGTGCTGGAGAAGACTCCTGTGAGTCCCTTGGACTGCAAGGCCATCCAACCGGTCAGTCCTAGAGGAGATCAACCCTGACTGCTCTTCAGAAGGCCAGATCCTGAAGAGGAAACTCAAATACTTTGGCCGCCTAATGGGAAGGAAGGACTCCCTGGAGAAGAGCCTAATGCTGGGAAAATGGCAGAGAACGAGGTGGCTGGATGGAGTCACTGAAGCAGTCGGCGTGAGCTTCAATGGACTCCAGAGGATGGTATAGGACAGGAAGGCCTGGAGGAACGTTGTCCATGGGGTCACGATAGGTCAGACACAACTTCACGATTAACAACAACATAACATATGTATATGTTTGGGTAGATACACACTCTCTTGAGAGCAGGTAACAGAATTTCATTTTTAATGTGGGCCGGAGTGCTCGCAGTAAAAAAAAAAAAAAAGACACTAACATTATCTTCTCTTCTTCCAATGCATCATTTTTTTACCTGATCTTCTAGAGATTAAGCGTCTCAGGTAGAGCTCAACTAAGATTAACCATCCCCTAAATCGCCAGCCTAAATTGTTTGACACGCTTCCTGTTTACGCTGCTCCGCTTGGGTATCTAAGGTAAGTACAGAGAACCGTTGCGCCTCTCTCCCCATTTCCGATTGCCCTTAATAGCTCAATCTCCTGCCCAACAACGTTCACGATGCTGCTTCCATCGTGGTTTGTGCAATTTCCTCTCCGCTGTTTGCATTACCGTATTGATTGGGAACTTCACCTGCCTGCAAGAAACGTAGGGGGGGAAAAAAAACCTGCAACCGTACGCAGGAGGGAAGAGGAGATGTTGTTTTATGCTTCTTCCAATTTCTGGCATTTAAAATTGAGGACTGTTGCTTTTTTTTACCCTGCCTGCCAATTTTAACGGAAACGACCACAGGATTTAACAAGAGCAAGGAAAAGCTTTTTTGCTTTCTGATAGGATCGAAAATGTTAGGCACGGGTTTGAACATATGAGGGTGTCCAATCCAGCAGCTTTGATTTCCTGGGAGTGACTCATTGTTCTGACTCCTGTTTTTCCCCCCTCTTTATTTACCTCTTGTGAATTAATTGCATTCACCCACCGAAAAGTCCAGGCAAGATTCCTTCGTGCAGCAACAGACCTTATCAGTTCCTTGCGATAATTGCAAGGCCCTGAGCTCCCAGCCAAAAGGCTGCAAATTAAGTTCTGGCAAGCAATTCCTTGTGGCACGAAACACAATGAGCAAAATCTTCAGAAATACGAATCGTTGTCTCCTACGACCACCACTCCCCTTTCCTTCTATTTATTCCCCAGCCAGGGAGGGGCCATTCAGCGCCCACGTGTGCTTTGTTTCCCGAGTCGACTCCTTGTCCTCCGTTGTTCTCCTCTCCTAACTGCTCTGCGCATACGTGCATCTGGAACAGGCCCCAGCTGTTCTTCCTCCTCACTCATCTCAGCCTCCAAAGGCAGCTGCCTCTCCGGTGGCTGGGAAATATCGGACAGCCCTGGCTCTATCTCTGCATCCGATGCACAGCATCCATCAGAGCTTTCCCCAGACTCCAGAACTGGCCCAAATTCCTCCCCAACCTCATTGTCCAACTCTGCCGCCAGCACACTCATTTACGATAACCATCACTCTGCTTAGCAATGGAATTTCTCATCCCCTAGATGTTACAGTCGTCTTTTCACTCCCGCGCGCAATTGTCGTAACCAAGCCACTGTCTATCACACCTGATTCCATAAATGAGGGTGTATTTCCACTAAAAAACCAGGTTTCACTCAACGCTTTCCGCAGATTCTGGGTTCCAGCCTGAAAACCACAATTTTTGTAAGTCTAAATACCATTAAAGCTTTAGATATTCCATTCCTAGCCATAATCATTTGTTCTTTGGAGATAATGATCCTTTTACATGTTGCCTATCAAAAAAAGGGGGATTGTGGGGGTGGGGGGAAAGAAATATATATTTGCAGCAGCCGGCAGATTCATTTTTTTTTAAAGACATAGAATAGCTGGGGAATTTTAATTTGCACGTCGAAATTGTCCTCCTACACGTCGGAGCTATTTTAAAAGGATCAACTTTCTGCCAAACTATTGCAATTAATCTTTTTTTTAAAAAAATTACAATACACATTTCTAACGGTAAAAGGGAATGTCTACGCCGAGCATAGGAAAAACCTGCGAAAGGAGAACAAAAATAACCACAAACATTCTGAAATTAAACAAAAACGTTTAGCCTAAATGTAACAAACATTCTATTGTAGGCAGAAAACCCCAAAACCAGTGAATACGGGTGCTAGAAGGGATTTGTGGAGAAGAGAAGAAAGAGGGAGGGAGGGAGGGAAGGAAGGAAGGAAAGAAGGCAGATAGGTAGTTAAATGACAGGGAAGGAACCTTAGTGCTCTCTGAGCTTGGGGGTTTCCTTGCAGACGTTTCATTACCCAACTAGGTAATGTAATCAATGCTAGAAGGGAGCAGGGTTTGTGGAGGAGGAGGAGGACTGTAGGGTCCTTAGTGCTCTCTGAGCTTGGCGGTTTTCTTGCAGACGTTTTATTACCCAACTAGGTAACATCATCAGTGCTAGAAGGGAATGAGGTTTGTGGAGTAAAGGAGGAAGGGAGGAGGTGGAGAAGAAGGGGAGGAGAAGGAGGAGGACTGCGGGGTTCTTGGTGCTCTCTGAGCTTGGTTGTTTTCGTGCAGATGTTTCACTCTTAGACTAGGTAACCTCATCGGTGCCACCCTAGTAGCACTGATGATGTTACCTAGTTTGGGTAACCGGTCATTAAGCGAGGACTGTAGATGGGATCTTTCTAAAGATATGGCAGCTATGGAAAAATGGAGGAAAAAGGTATTTTCTCAGAGAAAGAGAGCACTTCTGGTGGTCTCCTGCCACCTAGTGATATAAAACGTCCATAACAACCGTGATTTCCATTTCCTCCTGAATTCGGTTCCACGGGGAGACTTTGGGACTATGATTCCCGGAATCCCCCTGCCAGGCTGACCTAGAAAGGATTAATCCCTCTGAGCGTGAGCAGCCATGACTACTCTCCATACTTAAGCTTCTGGCCAAGCAAACCACGTCACAATTTTGACAAAATAAACGTTGACTTCCCGAGCGTTCTTAAAATGCTGCTCTTAAAAAAAGCCCCTCGTTCTACCCGCGCCCCTTACCATCGTTTATCGTAGTAAAGCTTCCCGTCTTCTATCCGTGCCTCAAATCGTTGGGCGGGGGATTCTGCAGGAGTCGTTGGAAGATGCTCGGGCGAGGAAGGAGATGCTGGAACAGAAAAAAAAGAGGACCGGGCGATAAGCATCTATGTCAGGAGTCGGCAACCCGCGTGGCTCTGGAGCCGCATGTGGCTCTTTCATCCCTCGGCTGCGGCTCCCTGTCGCTGGTCGGCTCCACAACTGATAGGGCTTTCGGTTAAGGTCAAGGTCAATTGGGTCAAGGTCTGGGCTATTCTCAGGCCATTCCAGCAGTGGAATAGGATTATCTTGAAACTCCCCCCCAAAAAAAGTGGTGTTATTAGCCATCACACCTCAAAAATACTTTTTCCAAAAAGGTTTCCACAACTTTGGCCACTACCGTATATTTATACATCCGAACTAAAATGTGTTGTTTCTCTGTGTCCTATAATATAGGTGGGTATGTGCATATGTTTTACTTATTTACTTACTTACTCTTCGGAGTATAAGACGCACCTACCTTTTTTGCTGAGGAAAAGAAGAAAAAGAAATCTCCCTCTGAGCAATTTTGCCTCGTTGCAGCAAACAGCAAACAGCCTTCTTTACTTTCATTTTCATTTTCAGCATAGCTTGATTAGCACAAGGGGGGAAAAAAAATCTGCTCCAGCAATTTTCCTCCTTGCAGCAAGCAGCAGAGCCGTGCAAAACAGCTGAGAGCAAATCAGCTGAGAGCTGGGAGGCCGATTCAATCAACTTGTGCTAATTAGCCTGTGCTGAAGCTGAAAGAAGCTGTTTTTTCTTGCTGTTTGCTTGCAAGGAGGTGACTGCTGCGAGGCAGAGACCAAAGGGTGGGGGCCAGAGGGGGGGGGGCTAGATTCGGTGTATAAGACGCACCTAAATTTTCACCCCCTTTTAGGGATGAAATTCGTCTTATACTCCAAAAAATACGGTACTTAAATTGTTTAAATTTAAATTGTTTATGTAGTGTATATTAGAGGTGGAGACCCTTGAGAGCTGTATGCAACGCAATTTCATTTTAATGTATGCCAATTTGTGTACATTTAAAGTGACAATGAAGTAATTCTAATATACCAACGGCAGGGTGGACAGTGGCTGAATCTGGGATTTTCTGTATGGCAAGAAGGGCACTAAGCTGCAGTCCTTCCCTCCGTTCCGAGCCAAAACAAGCAAAATAACTAATTAAATTCAAACAATGCCCCGTGGTCATATTACTCACCTGGTCTTTTAGGTGATTTAAGCTAAAAAAAAAAAGAAAGAAGAGGAAAACTGTTGAAGGAATAGTCACAAAAGTACGACCAAGAAAATGGATCTGGCTCGCGGGGCCACTCTGGAAACAGCGAAGGACCAGCCCGTGGTGCCAATGCCAGCGAAAACAGAGCTCCGGGGGGGTGGAGGGGGAAGCAACGTTTTCACTGGCCGAGCGCTCGGGTCTCCACAGGCGGCCCCCAACACGAGTGACATCAAAGTGGCCACGCCCACCCTGTCCCCCCCTCCCCAAGGTCCAACACAATCCTGATTCAGCCCTCCTTGAAATCGAGTTTGACACCCCAATATAAAATATATCCTCCCCCCACCCCTTTTTCACATCAACACCTGAATTCAGGAGACACACGTAAAACCAGTTCTTTCTAACGAAAAACAGGATACTGGCTCAAATCCAGAGAAAATAAAATTGGGATGGTTAGACAGAAAACTAAGGATTGGTGGGGGGTTTTTTTGTTTTTCTTCTTCTCCTAGCCTTCCTTCCTTCCTTCCTTCCTTCCTTCCTTCCTTCCTTCCTTCCTTCCTTCCTTTCTTTCTCTTTCTTTCTTTCTCTCTTTCTCTCTCTCTCTCTCTCTCTCTCTCTCTCTCTCTCTCTTTCTTTCTTTCTTTCTTGCATTTCTATGCCGCCCAACTCCCTAGGGACTTACCTTATTGAGAGTCCTCAAATCTTCCATGATCTGCTCGTCCGTGAGGAGATAATTGAGCTGAGGTAATCCGCATTAAGGGTCATGCAAAAACACTCGAGCAACCGCTTAGGCCGGTGATGGTTAACCTTTTCGGTGCCAGGTACCCAAAGCGTGCAAGCAAACTGTTAAGACTGTTTTCAACGCCGTTGTGACTTTGAACAGCCGCTAAAGGAACCGTGGTAAGTCAAGGACTACCTATACTGGCCAAGCCTTGAGTTTTTAGGGCAAGGTTTCATCGCAGAAAGGATATCTGGAGCTGGTTTCCTCCTTTTGTCAGGAATGGGCACCGGATCGTTCGGCCTCCTCCGCAATTTCCTGGTCATGATCGGCTTCACTTCCATGGAATCTGAAGACAGCAACAAACCAATTGGACTGTAAGTCCACAAATTTCTATTAAAAGCGACAGGGGGAAACAAAACCCCATCTGAGTACTGAGGCACAATAAAAAAAAAAACCTATTTCTTTACTCCCCACTCCACTCCCAGATATATTTTTCACATCTATGGAATGTAGGCGAATGTATCTTTTCTTTTATGTACTCCGAGAGCGTATGCACCCAAGACAAATTCCTTGTGTGTCCAATCACACTTGGCCAATAAAGAATATTATTCTATTCTATTCTATTCTATTCTATTCTATTCTATTCTATTCTATTCTATTCTATTCTACTCTAGTCCTTATTTCTATTCTATTCTATTATTCTATTCTATTCTATTCTATTCCTAATTCTAATTCTAATCTATTCCTTATTCTATTCTATTCTATTCTACTCTAGTCCTTATTTCTATTCTATTCTATTCTATTCTATTATTCTATTCTATTCTATTCCATTCTATTCCTAATTCTAATTCTAATCTATTCCTTATTCTATTCTATTCTATTCTATTCTATTCTATTCTATTCTATTCTACTCTACTCTAGTCCTTATTTCTATTCTATTCTATTCTGTTCTATTCTATTCTATTCCTAATTCTAATTCTATTCTATTCCTAATTCTAATTCTAATCTATTCCTTATTCTATTCTATTCTATTCTATTCTATTCTATTCTATTCTATTCTATTCTATTTTATTCTATTCTATTCCATTCCACTCTATTCTATTCCTAATTCTAATTCTAATTCTATTCTATTCCATTCCAGTCCTCATTCCAATATTCTATTCTATTCTATTCTATTCTATTCTATTCTATTCTATTAGTCAAACTCTGTTATTCCAGCTCTGTTATTCAATTTCACTGAATCTCCAAACCAGGTTAATTTTCTGTTGTGGCCTGTCAGCCACCGGCCCCTCTAGCAGCCAAATCAGAGGAGGAGGAGGAGGAGGAGGAGGAGGAGGAGGAGGAGGAGGAGGAAGCGACATAGGTGTCAGGGTCAGCATCAGGGCAACCTGAGAGCTCTGAGAGGGGAAGAGGGAATGGAGCTGGCAGAGAGAGAGAGAGAGAGGGAGGGAGAGGGAGAGAGAGAGACGGGGGGGAGGGAGAGGGAGAGGCGGAGCTGGGCCGTCCATCAGCCCTCAGATGGAGAGTCAACAGCCGCCAGGTCTGGAGGTGGCTGATGAGGAGGAGGAGGAGGAACAGCTGGGTCCAGTGCCTGACGCGCAGATGCACAGAAGGCAGAGGAGAGGAGAGCGGTGGAAATCTATGGGCCGGTCCTTGGGACGGAAGAGCCACCGCTGCTAGCGAAGCCCCACTCTAGCTCTGGGGATAAAAGGCAGGGGGTGGAGATGAATAGATGAGGCAGACAACTATTCATCTTCCGGCCAGACGGACTTGTTAGCCTGCGAGAGAAACTTTTTGCTGGGGCTGCCGGTGCTCCTAATTAAAGGCATCTTTTGCGTTCACATCAGAGGGTTTGTCGTGTTTGGGGAGCTGGGTCAGAACACTTGCGTAAACTTCGCATTGACCCTGTGTCTTGAGCCAAGGGCTTCCAAAGCGGTTGGTCTCAACGGTTCGGAAACGTTTTCGTCTCTGCTTTACCTCCTGTCAGTTCCATGGTAAGCTTCTCGCTCTCAATCATCTTCTTCTTCTCTTCCAACTCAGCGATCAGGCTCTCCTTCAGCTCGATTTTTTTATCCTCAAACTCCTTCACTGCTGCTTTTTTCTCTTTGATGTAGTTTCGTTCCACCTGCTCTGTCTAATCCACATCCAAAAAAAAAAAGGAGAGCATTTTCAAGGTTAAGGCGAAAACGTAGGTTGCTTGTCATTAAGCATTAGGTTGAGTTCATTACTATATTTTTCGGAGTATAAGTGTTGTGGTCCGCCAGCACCCTGCGGAGCTGGCAGTGGAGTCGGACAGTGAGGAGGCTGGGGAGGAACATGGGCCAGTCCTGGAGTCTGGGGAAGGCTCGGACGAGGGCTCTGCGTCAGAGGCAGAGATGAGGCCAGGGCCATCGGGGAGTGATGCACAGACTCCGGAGCCTCCAGAGTTGGACATTAGAGAGGCAGAGGAACAGGAGGAGCCTGTTCTTAGTGCATGCATGCACAGAGCTGCCAGATTGGTCTTATTATCATGGGATGTCTTATTTTTTTGGGGGGGGGGGGAAAAGGGGAAAAAATTTTTTTTTGTACAAGATTCGTTAAAATCCGTTAACAGCAGCTTTGTTTAAATTTTGGTGACTCTATTGCAAATCTGTCTAGGCTGGAATCCAATGCAGGAAACAGAAATAATCCTGAAGTCCTAACATAAAATAGTTTCGATAAGATATACTTACTTCCAAGTGAAGAAAAAGCTCTGGAAGGAAACAGACATGACAATTATTAGAGGGAAGGTACAAACATGTTTAATTTTAGTAGAATACTGGAGTTGTTGTTCTGGGATGGGTTTGTGAATGACAAGAGAGTTAAGAGTAAGTTTTAATGCTAATAAGACAAGTGAACTTCGAATATACTTCTCTCTGAACGAAATCCCCCAAAAGTTCATAATTAATCCACACACAAATGCATGCACACAACATTTGTTTATTCAGCATTTATATTGTATTTATACAATTTTGATTTAGATTTATGTAGCTTGTCCAGCTCATCAAAAGTCCCTTTGGGCAGCGCACAACAAAGCCAGAAGGCAAGAGCAGCTAAAACAAAAGGGACGACTCAGGAGTAAGGCAGGAGATGATTGGCCCCTCCCATAAGGCTTAAAAGAGAAACAGAGGCACTTGGGCCTTTTTGCAGGAAAGCAACTTTGCTAACTCTGTTTCCAGTCGGCATCTCGTTTGTTTCTGAACTTTGTGGGGCTTTGCCAAGTAAGGCTTTTGGCAGGGTGCCAAAGAAGATAAAGGTTGGTGATTATCCCTAAGGACTTCTTCCGAAGGACTTGTTTTGCAACTAATTGGGACTCAGCTGAGAATGAACATAATTCTCAGCTGTTACACTAAAATATGTTTGTTTGGGACTAATTGGATATTGTAATTACTAGGTCACAACAGATAGGACCGAATTGTGAGAGCTAACACAGGGGTCACAGCAGGCTGATTTCATAAATGAACCTGGTGATCAATGATAGCTCCAGCTAATTCCAAAAGGAAACACCAAATAACTAGTTATAACCACTTAGCGATGGAAATTTTGGGCTCAATTGTGGTGGCGGACCGAGAACTACCTATATCTCACTTTGTAAGGTTCGAATCCTGAGTAGGTAATTTCACACGTTAGGATGAATTTGCCACCTCAGTCCAACCTGCTCACCTGCATTGCGGATCCTCTCTTTGTATTGCTGATCCAGCTTCTTCATCCTTTTCTGATATTCTTGTAAGGTACCTATGGAATAAAAAAAGTCATGGCATGAGAGATTGCAACCACACACCAAAAAAAGAAAAAGAAAAAAGAAAAGAAAAGAAAACCCTTTCCCTTTTCTCAATTTCTTCCTATAGACGCCAGTTGCCTGGTAAGATTTAAAATACTATCATCCATTTACTCAGAAAATTATATTAATAGTTTACCAAAAACTTTTGCGTTCTCTCAAGGTTTTGAGGTATAATCCCCCACCTCTACCACTTGATACTGGTCATGTTAGCTGGAGATAATAGGTTAACAAACCTATTAACAGAGTAACAGAGTTGGAAGGGACTTCGAAGTCTGTTGGATGCTTATCCTACGGTTTGGTAGGTAATATATAGAAAACTATGTTCTGTAACTTTAACTGCTACAAGATGACTAATTGGCTGTGCTAAGCAGACATAAAAGAAGGCAGGAAGTTCGTTCACTTCTGCTCCTGCTATTAGGTTGAACTGCTGAAAGGAACCGTGTCTGTGTTACTGAAGAGAACTGGAATTGTAAGCAAACTATGTTTTTGCGTTGAACCGTGATTATTTGAAGAAGTGTTATCTTTGTTTAAGAAGCCAAGTTTATTTTTTACTACAAGTAAAGACTGTTTATTTTCTTACAACGTTCAGAGTCTGTGAGTATCTGTGTGTTTTGCTAAGCAACGTATCTATTCGCTGTCTGGTCTGTTGCACCACTTTGCAGATGACAGTTTTACCCTCAACAAGGTCTTTTAGTCCAGCCCCCTGCTAAAAGCAGGAGAACCTATACTATTTCAGACAAGTGGCTGTCCAGTCTCAAAAATCTCTGGTGATGGAGCACCCACAACTTCTGGTGGCAAGCCATTCCACTGGTTAATTACCCTCCCTGTTAGGAAGTTTCTCCTTAATTCCAGATTGCTTCTCTCCTTGGTTAGTTTCCATCCATTGCTTCTTGTCCTGCCTTCTGGGGCTTTGGAGAATAGGTTGATCACCTCTTCTTTGGGGCAGCCCCTCAAAATATTGGAATGCTGCTATCTTGTCACCCCTAGTTGTCTCTCTTCTTATGTCTGAGCGTTCAGCAGTTCATTTGGTTTTCCATTGGGAATTGATGTTAAAAGTTGTTGGACAGATGTTGTGCACGTGCTTCCTGGATTTGAGGAATATGAGGTTAGCATGCACCAGTAGGAATGAGTTGAATAGTTGCAAAATCAACTATTCGGGACTAACAAACCTTCTTGTTAGCATAAAGTAAGGTTTTTTTTTCCCCTCCGCAGGTTTTGCAAGAGACCAGATCCGAGAACTCAACATTCCAATGTAGGCAAACTCACAAAGCTAAACGGTATCGTAATTAGCAACTGAAAAGTTTTACCTTCCTGTAGTTGCTGCAGCTGCCTTTTTAGTGATGCCAATTTATCCTGGTACATCCTGAAAAGAGAATAGGTTTTATATGGCAGTGGAATGGGTGACAAGCAAATGTTAATAATGATAAGAACAACAACAACAACAACAATAATAATAATATAATAAACAAATAGCAAAAGGGATGAGAAAGAATTGGAGAAGACAACAAAGCACAAAGAATAGCAAATAGAAATAGAAATGACTGTGGCAAAAGAAAGAAAAGGTGGTAATTATTTATGTCTGAACTCTGCACTTTTGATATGGCCCATGGGCTAATCAGTAAACTAATTATGTATACACTCACACTCACACACAACGTGTATGAATTTGTGTGTGAATGTATGTGTGTGGTTATATATTTATACATATATTTATATTTATACATATACATACAGAGAGAGAGAGAGAGAGAGACATTGTGTGAATTTGTGTGTGCATGTATATATGTGGTTATATATTTATACATATATTTATATTTATACATATACATACATACATAAAGAGAGAGAGAGAGAGAGAGATACACAGTGTATTTGTGTGTGCATGTATATGTGCGGTTATATAGTTATACATACCGTATATTTATATTTACACATATACATACACACAGAGGTATATTAATCACAGTCCATTTTGAATATAGAGTGGAAAGAGAGTAAGAAGTTGGATACTAGATAGTCCAGAGTTGCCACAATACTCACTGCTCCTTCATTTCTACGTAATCTTCCTCATCGTGTTTCGCCAGATCCGTTTCACTGGCATCTTCCGTATCTAAGCAACAGGATCAGCATCAATCATGTCAGAAAACATCAAATAAAAGTCATTTTTGTTTTGTTTTTTTGCTCAAACAAGTTTCTCCAGGCTGAGCCTGCAGGGCCAAAATTGCAAACTGGCCTTTTTTTTAAAATGCTAGAGATGCTGGACCTCAGCAGGGGTGAGTCTGAAAAGCGGCAGAGATGGGTATTGTGGTCCATCACCACCCAGAGTCTCCATGGTAGGGAGACAGTCATGGGTGTTGTGGTCCAGAACCAGCAACTACCGTGTTTGCGGTTAGAGCAATGGGTGCTGTGGTCGGACGCTTGCAATCCAAGGCCGGGAAAAGGAGGGTATTGTAGTCCAGCCACTTTAGTCAATGTAGATGGGAAGAGTAATAGGTATAGTCAGTCCTCGGCTTACAAAAGTTTGTTTAGTGACCGTTCGAAGTTATGGCACTGAAAAAAAGTGACTTACGAACAGGTCCTGAAAACATGTAGCTGGGGTAGGTAGAGAGCATCTAACCTGACTGTAGAGTGATGGGTATTGTGGTCCGGATACTAGAGATAGGAAGTGATGGGTGTTGTGGTCTTGCCCCTACAGTCTCTAATGTCATGGGGAGAATGATGGGTACTGGGATAGACATTTGCCTTCGCTACAGCCAGTTATGGGTATTGTGGTCCAGACACCAGAGATAGGAAGTGATGGGGGTTGTGATCTAGCCCTTACAGTCTCCACTGTCTGCAGAGTGATAGGTGTTGTAGTCCATCATCTGCACTCCCTTTAGCTAGGGCACAGCGATGGGCGCTGTGATTGGGCACCTACAAACAGCCAGCGATGGGTACTGTAGTCCAGCCACCAGAGATGGGAAGTGATGGGTGTTGCGATTCACCCCATGCCTTTTCCATTGCCGGCAGAGCACGATGGACATTGGGGTTTAGCACCTGCCCCCTACTTCCAAAGCGATGGTCAGTATGGTTCAACTACCCCAGAGAAGGAATTATGGGTGCTGGAGTTCATCCCATGCAGTCTATATTGTTGGCAGAGCATGATGGGCATTGGGCTCCCTCCAAAGCGATGGTTAGTGTAGTTCAACTACCCCAGAGAGGGAATTATGGGTGCTGGAGTTCACCCCATATAGTCTCCATCATTGGCAGAGCATGATGGGCATTGGGCTCCAGCACCTCCCCGCTACCTCCAAAGCGATGGTTAGTGTAATTCAACTACCCCAGATAGGGAATTATAGGTGCTGGAGTACATCCCATGCAGTCTATATTGTTGGCAGAGGATGATGGGCATTGGGCTCCCTCCAAAGCGATGGTTAGTGTAGTTCAACTACCCCAGAGAGGGAATTATGGGTGCTGGAGTTCACCCCATATAGTCTCCATCATTGGCAGAGCATGATGGGCATTGGGCTCCAGCACCTCCCCCCACCTCGAAAGCGATGGTTAATGTAGTTCAACTACCCCAGAGAGGGAATTATGGGTGCTGTGGAGTTCACCCCATGCAGTCTCCATCACCGGCAGAGCATGATGGGTCTTGGGGGGGGTCGAGCACCAGCCAAAGGAAATGGGTATTGGAGTCCAGCCCCCCCCCCCCCCCGCCCCCCCCCCCCCACCCCCCACCCCCAGACAGACCGGCCGCGGCTCACCCTCGTCGGAGTCCCGAGCGCGCCCGCTGCGTTCGCCGTCCTCCTCCTCGGCGGGGCTCTCCAGCTCCTCCTCCTCATAGCTCTCGGCGGCGGCGGCGGCGGCGGCAGCAGCAGCAGCGGCGGCGGCGGCGGCGGCTCCGGCCCCCGGGGGCAGCGTGGAAGCCGGCGGAGGCAGCGGAGGCCCCGCGGGCAGCGCGGGGGAAACCAGCGCGGCGGCGCTCATGGCCCGCGAAGCCGGAGGAGGCTCAGTCCGTCCGTCCGTCCGGCGACGCCGGTCCCTCCTCAGGCGAGCGCCCACAGAAGCGCGCTCCTTTCTTCCGCGCAGGCGCGCCAGCCGCTTCCGTCCACTTCGTCTGGCCCGTCGCTCTTTCCGTAGACGCCTGGGCGGGGCTTCGGCCGCCCAGGTTGGGGTAGTTAGACTCAAGTTAGTAGAGGTGTACGCGAAACGACTACTTCCGGGCTCCGTCTCTCTCTCTCTCTCTCCCCCACCCCCCCCCCCCCTTGGAGCCTTGAAGAAATATGGACTTCCACTCTCAGAATTACAGTGTTGTTTCTCTGTATCATATAATATATGTGGTTATATACATATACATATACATATTTATTTATTTATTTATTTATTTATGTTTATACAGTGTATATTGGAGGTGGTGACCCTTTGAGAGCTCTATGCAACTAAATTTCATTTTAATGTATGTCGATTAGTGTATATTTAAAGTGACAATATCTATCATCTATCTATCAATCAATCATTTATTATCTAGATCTACTCTATCTATCTATATCTATCTATCTATAATGTAGCTCTACTCTATTCTATCTATCTATTTCTATCTACCATCTATGATCTAGATCTACTATCTATCAATCTATCTATCGTATCTATCTATCTATCTCTATCTATCTATCATCTATGATCTAGATCTTCTATCTATCTATCTATCCATCCATCCATCCATCCATCCATCCCTCCCTCCCTCCCAATAATTCCCCAGCCAGCATGCTTTAAGATGCATGGACTTCAACTCCCAGAATTCATAGCTCCAACATCATAGAACGTAGAACTGTTTGCAGAGCAGGCTTCACTAATTCGCTAATAGAATAGAATATAATAGAGTAGAATAGAATAGAATAGAGTAGAATAGAATAGAGTAGAGTAGAGTAGAGTAGAGTAGAGTAGAGTAGAGTAGAATAGAATAGAATAGAGTAGAGTAGAGTAGAGTAGAGTAGAGTAGAATAGAATAGAATAGAATAGAGTAGAATAGAGTAGAGTAGAGTAGAGTAGAGTAGAGTAGAATAGAATAGAATAGAGTAGAGTAGAGTAGAGTAGAATAGAGTAGAGTAGAGTAGAATAGAGTAGAGTAGAGTAGAATAGAATAGAGTAGAGTAGAGTAGAATAGAATAGAATAGAATAGAATAGAGTAGAGTAGAGTAGAGTAGAATAGAATAGAATAGAGTAGAGTAGAATAGAATAGAATAGAGTAGAGTAGAGTAGAGTAGAGTAGAGTAGAGTAGAATAGAATAGAATAGAGTAGAATAGAATAGAATAGAATAGAATAGAGTAGAGTAGAGTAGAGTAGAATAGTAGAGTAGAGTAGAAGTAGAGTAGAGTAGAATAGAATAGAATTATAAATAGAATAGAATAGAAAGAGTAGAGTAGAGTAGGAATAGAATATGAATAGAATAGAGTAGATAGAGTAGAGTAGAGTAGAGTAGAATAGAATAAATATAGTAGAATAAATAGAAAGAATAAGAGTAGAGTAGAGTAGAGTAGAATAGAGTAGAGTAGAGTAGAGTAGAGTAAGAGTAGTAGAGAATAGAATAGAATAGAATAGAATAGAATAGATAGAATAGAATAGAATAGAGTAGAGTAGAGTAGAATAGAATTAAAATAGAATAGAATCTTTTCCACAACCTACGAAATCCCTCTCTCCCCCCCCCCACAGCCCGCCCCTCCCGACGCGTGGGCGGAGCCCCGTCTCCTGCTTTCCATCGGAATGCGGAAGCGCATCTGATTGGTCCACTCTCGAGAGAGGGAGGAGGGGCGTGAGAGCGGAGGAGCGGGGCAGACCGAAAGAATCGAGCGCCGATTTCCTCGCTTCGACCGAGCCGGAGGAGGGCTCACCCAGGCAGGGGGAACGGAGCGCCGGGCGTTCGATCGCCTTCGGCCGCGCCTGACGGAGCGGAGCGGCTGCTTTTTGGCTTGTCGGCGCGGGCGGAGGTGGCTCCGAATGCGGACGCGGCGCTGGCTTCTCCTTCCCGGAGCTGAGCGGCCGCCGACGAGGAACTTTTCCCAGCGCCACACGGGTGAGGGAGCACTTTTGGGGCGGTGCGGGGGGGGGGAGAGGGGAGAAGGGGGGGGAGGGAAAAAGGGGAGAAGGGTGGGGGGGGGCGATTTAAAAAAAAAAAGGGGGGGGGTCGCGTCGCAAGGAAAAATGCCGCGGCCGGAGAAGGAAAGGAAGAAGGGAAAAAAAAGCAGCCGCCGAGGATGGGGGGGAGGAGGGGGGGGAACACGGGGGGGGAAAAGACGGCGGTGGGGGGAGGGGGGGTGGAATGGAGGGAGAGAGGATTTTATTTTATTTTATTTTATTGTTTGGTTTTATTTATTTTATTATTTATTTTATTTATTTTATTTTAATTATTATTATTATTTTATTTATTTTAATTTAATTTTATTAATTATTTATTTTATTTTATTTTAATTTTATTAATTAATTTATTTATTTTATTTTAATTTAATTTTATTATTTGGTTTTATTTATTTTATTATTTATTTTATTTATTTTATTTTATTATTATTATTATTATTTTATTTATTTTAATTTTATTTTATTAATTATTTATTTTATTTTATTTTATTAATTAATTATTTTAATTTTATTAATTATTTATTTAATTTTATTTTAATTTAATTTATTTTAAATTTTATTTTAATTTTATTTTATTAATTATTTTTTATTTATTTTATTTATGTTATTTTATTTTATTTACTTTATTTTAATTTAATTTTATTAATTATTTATTTATTTTATTTTATTTTAATTTATTAATTATTATTTTATTTTATTTTAATTTAATTTATTAATTATTTATTTTATTTTATTGTAATTTTATTAATTATTTTATTTTATTTTATTAATTATTTATTTTATTTTATTATTTATTTTGTTTTATTTTATTAATTTAATTATTTTATTTTATTATTTATTTTGTTTTATTTATTTTATTTTAATTTTATTTTAATTTATTTTAATTTAATTTTATTAATTATTTTTTATTATTTTATTATGTTATTTTATTTTATTTACTTTATTTTAATTTAATTTTATTAATTATTTTATTTTATTATTTATTTTATTTTATTTTATTTTATTTCCTTTTATTTTATTTATCTTTTCCTAAGGAATTTTTGTTTTTGTTTTTGTTTTTATCTTTCCCCCCCTCCCTCCCTCCCTCCCTCCCTCCCACCCTCCCTCCGGAAGGAAGTTGAAAGGCTTGCAGGGCGGAGGGGAGGAGGAGGGGGGGAGGGGAAAAAAAGAAGGGGAGGGGGAAACGCCAGAGGTCATCTAGTCGCTCTCTTCTGTTCCCCGCCATTGGAACTCTTTGAACAGAGTTCCAATGGGGGGGGGGAAGAGAGAGAGGGGGGGAGGGGGGGAGGGACAGGGCAGCTTAGGAAGGAGGAGGGGGGATCTGGGGGGAGAGGAGAGGAGGAGGAGGAGGGAAAAAAAGAAAAAGAGGGGAGGGGAGGGGGAAACACCAGAGGTCATCTAGTCGGTCTCTTTGGTTCAGGGGGAGGGGAGGGGAGGGTGCCGCTGCCAAGCGGAGACTGGCTGTCCAAAGAGTTCCAGTGGGGGGGAGGAGAGAGAGGGAGGGATGGGGCAGATTAGGAAGGAGGGGGACCTGGGGAGGAAGAGGGGGGGATCTGGGGTGGACAAGAGAGGAGTGGGGTGGAGAGGGAGTTCTATTGGGAGGGTCGGGAGGGCGAGAGATGGGGAGGGGGGCTATCATTGGAGGGGGGTAACGGAGGGCAAGGGATGGGGAGAGGGGTGCGGGTGGAGGCTATATTGGAGATGGGGAGGGGCGAGAGATGGGGTAGTCTGGGGGGGCAAGAGACAGGGAGGGGGCTACAATGGGAGGTCAGTGGGGAGGGCAAGAGATGGGGAGGATGAGTGGGGGCTATAATGGAAGGGGTGAAGGAGGGGAAGAGATGGGGAGAGGGTGGGGAGGGCTATATTGGGGGGAAGGGGAAAGAAGGGATTGGAGGCTGCAAAGAGCCCTCCATGGTTTGGGGGGGGGACCTGGAATGGCTGATGGGGATGGGGTGGGGCTGCTTTAAGGAAAAACGATGCAAAGACCTTAACCCCTGAAATGCTGGGGAAGGGAGACCCCCAGGTGTTGGGGGGGACTATAAGGAAGAGAATTTGGGAGGGGGCAGAGAAGGGGGGGCGCTGGGGAAGCAACCTTTGCAACCGGGGTGGGGGGCTTTGTCCCCAACTCTTTGGATACTACAACTCTCCTTGCCTTTAGGATGTGAGTCACCCAGAGTCGCTCGAAAAGTGAGATGGTTGGCATATAGTACATTTAAATAAATGTTGTGTGTTTTTGTTTTTAATCCCGTGGATTTCTGGCCATGGGGATCCCCGGGCAGCAGGAGGGCACCCCACTTCAGGAAATCTGGTTTGGGGTGCTCCAGGGTTCTCTGGGGTGAGAATGAGAAGCAGAGTTGTTGGGTGAAAGGAGGAGGAGGAGGAGACAAATGGGAAAACAGAACCAGATTTTGAGTTTTTTTGTGATGCTCCTCCCACACACCTATACCTACACACACACACACACAGACACACACACACACACACACACACAGAGACTGAGATGCAAAGCATGTGGCATGTTAATAGCGACACTTCTCGTTCTTGTGCACTCGCTCGCATTTGCATCCGTGCCCCCACATGCTGCGTTCGAAGCGTGAATAAATAACTTTAGGCAGAAAAATAAAACAGAATCGAGCCAATTTGGTGTAGTGGCTAAGGGGGCGGACTGGGAGTTCTAGTTCTGCCTTGGGCATGAAGCGCCGGCTGGGTGACTTCGGGCCGATTGCCAGGAAAATGGGAGTTCTAGCTCCGCTTTAGGCATGAAATCTGGCTGGGTGACTTTGGTCCGATCCCCAGGAGACTGGGAGTTCTAGTCCCACTTTAGAATAAGAGTCACTGGGTGACTTTGAGCCCATTACCTAGCCTGGGAGTTCTAGCTACATTTTAGGCATGAAATCTAGCTGGGTGACTTTGGTCCAATCCCCAGGAGACTGGAGTTCTACTAGC